CAGAGCTGCCCTTTCATCCCACCGGTGCCACCTGACCGAAAATGAGATTTCCCAGAGGAAAAGGGGAATTTCCCCTCACCTGGGATCCCGCAGGGAGAAGCTCTGCAGGCCCAGCAGCTCTCCCAGCTGGTCTCCCCCGCAGTGCACCAGGTGCTGCTGCCTCTTGTCATAGAGCTGCCGGCCCAGGATGTACTGACCCAGGAAATGCATCACCTGCGGGGACACAGCGCCTTCCCTCAGCCCCACAGCCCCCGGAATTCCCTGGCATGGAGCCCTGGGATGGACGGGAACTGCCAGGGATGGAGGGGAATCAAAGGGGAACCAAAGGTGCCCCCAAAGGGACCACAAAAAGTCACATCAAAATGGTCCTGAAGTGCCCCAAAACTGTTCCCAAAATGTGACCCCAAAGAGACCCAAAAGTGTTGCCAAAAAGTGACTCCAAAGTGACCCAAAACTGACCCCAAAAAGTGACCCAAAAGTGACCCCAAAAAGTGACCCCAAAGTGTTCCCAAACAGCGACCCCAAAGCGATCAGTGCCCCAAAGTGTCCTCAAAAAGTGACCCTGAAGTGCCCCAAAAGTGACTCCAAAGTGATCCCAAAGTGCCCCAAAGTGTTCCCAAAGAAGTGACCACAAAGTGATCCCAAAGTGACCCAAAACTGTTCCCAAAAAGTGACCCCAAAGTGATGCTGAAGTGCCCCAAAAAGTGACCCCAAGAAGTGATCCTGAAGTGCCCAAAGTGTTCCCAAAAAATGACCACAAATTGATCCTGAAGAGCCCCAAAAGTGACCCCAAAGTGTTCCTGAATTGCCCCAAAGTGACCCAAAAGTGATGCTGAAGTGCCCTGAAAATGTTCCCAAAAAGTGACCCTGAAGTGCCCCAAAGTGACCCCAAATTGACCCTGCCAAAAAGTGACCCTGAAGTGCCCCAAAGTGACCCCAAATTGACCCTGAAGTGTCCCCAAAGTGTCCCCAAGGTGCCCCTTCAGTAAAAAGGGAACATTTTCCAGGAGGGGTTGAAAACACCGTGAATCCCAGCGGGAATCCCAGGGCACATCCCAAAAACCCCGGGATAACGGCGGGAACGCGGCCCCACCTCCTTGAGGGTGAAGGTGTCGCCCTGGGCGCCCGCAGCCTGCAGAATCCTCAGGAGGGGAACTTTGGGAATCACCTGGAAAAACACAGCAAGGTTCGGTTGGAATTCCGGGAATCAAACCTGGAATAACCCCAAAAAAAAATCCCGAGGAATTTGGATTTAACCCCTCCCTGTTTGGATGTTTTGAGCATTTATTTTTCTCCAATTTATTTATTAATTTTTATTTATTTAAATTTTTTCTTTATTTATTTATTCACTTTAATTGAGCACAATAAATTTTATTTATTTACTTATTCCATTTTTTTTTTTTTCTGGATTTGGTTCCAGTTCCAAGCTCCTCAATTTTCCTCAAATGGAAAATCCAGATTTATTCCCACTCCCAGCACATTCCCTGCTATTGGAAAGATGTTTTTTCTCCCAAGGAATTGGCTCTTGGAAGGTGGAATTTCTGATTTTTTAAATTTCTTTTTTCCAGCTCATTATTATTGTTTGTGAATTTTTCTGCTCTTGATGGCTTTTTATTCCAGGAAAACTCCAGGAATTTTGGATAACGGGAATATTCCGAGTCTAAATACTCCCTAAACTACCTCAAAAAAAAGCCCTGGGGATGAATTACTAAAGAAAATTCAATAAAATTATAAACATTATAAATTTAATTCAATTCTGATATGTAGAAAAATCTCCAATATTTGGAATCTAGCTCCAAGAAAAAAAAAAATCCAGCAGAATAATATCTATAATTTCATGGTTTGATGTTCTTTTGTAATTTAATTAAAAATTAAATTAATTTAATAATTTTTGTTCCTTGAAAATATTCCTAAATCATGGAAAGAGAACAAATTGGGATAAATCTTGATTCTCTTTTAGGATAAATTCTCTGGATTTAAAGATATTTCCTATTTTATTAAAAAATCTCTGCTCTGATGAGGAAATGATGGCAGGGAGGGGTAATTAGCTGCTAATTAGCTGTCAGTTACCTGATTGGCTTGTCCAAGGGTGATCCTGCAGGAATTCCCAGCTCCTGGATGTTGGGTGGGATTTGGGAAGCTCATCCTGGCAGTGAGGAGCTGCTCAAGCACCGACCTGGAAATGGGATTTGGGATTAAAATCCACCTGGAAATGGGATTTGGGATTAAAATCCACCTGGAAATGGGATTTGGGATCCTGCCCCGGGCCCCTCCGGGGGTGGGGGGTTGGAAAAAACAACGGGAAAAAATAATCCTGGAAAAAACTGGGATGGGCTGCTCAGGGTGGGCTCAAAAATTCCCTGGATGGGCCCAAAAATCCCACTTGGGGACACGGCTGGGCGGGATTTGTTGATCCCAAAGGTTTTTTCCAACCCTAAACATTCCAGGATTCCCTAAACATTCCGTGAGTCCCGGTCAGGGTTGGATTTGCTGATCCCAAAGATCTTTTCCAACCCTAAACATTCCAGGATTCCCAGCTGGGTTGGATTTCCTGATCCCCAAAAGTCTTTCCCAAGCAGGCTGGGCTGGATGGTGGATAAAATATGGATAAAATATGGATAAAAATATGGATAAAAAGTGGATAAAATGCAGCCTGGGATAGGAGGAGGTGGGATTGGATGATCCCTTCCAACCCAAACCATTCCAGGATTCCCTGTGCTGGTTTGGGTGGGATATTGGGAATAAATCCTTCCCTGGAGGGGCTGGGATGGAATTCCCAGAGAATCCGTGGCTGCTCCATCCCTGGGAGCAGCCTGGGATGGGGAAATGTCCCTGGAACACAAAGGTGGAGCTGGGTGATCCTGGAATTCCAGCGGGGAATTTAAGGAATCTCCATGATTCAATCAGGGAAAACATTCCAGAGTGTGAAATTCCTGACTCAGCTGGGGAAGGAGCAGCTGAGTCACATCCCAAAGGAATTCCCCCCATTCCAGCAGCTCCCATTCATTCCCAAAGGAGAAGCCACAATCAGCACCTCCCTGATTTCCTAAAAATTCCCAAAAAAACCCGCCTGGATTCAGGGAATAAATTAATTTTAATGGAATTCCTGAATGAGCAGGTGCCAGAGCCTTTCCTGGAAGAACCACCAGGGAAAATCCTGAAAAAAACGCAATTTTTCGCAAAAATCAACTTCACCTCAACAATCACCCCTCAAATCCATTTAAATCCTTCCCTAAAAAGGGCTGGAAAACTTGGAAAAAAACAGGAATTATTTGTCAATTAAATAGTGGGGAAAAAACAACTGTAATTGGTTCAAAGTCTTGAACTTGTGGCAAAATTTGTGCCTGCCCAGAGCAAAAATTGAGATTAAAAACTCAGTTTTTTTAAGGATCTGGTTGCAAATAAACCGGATTTATTATTTATAGACTGGGTTTTTATTTAGAACCAAATACAAAATTAAAATATTTAGGTTAAAGCACTAAAATAATTCCCAAAATTGACTCCTGGAGTTGTCTGGCAGCTGGAATTTTGGGGATGTTTTCACTGGGATTTTTAATTTGTGGATTAGTTGAATTGTGGTTATAATGATAAATGAGATTAATAAATTTTTATTTAATTTAAAAGAGTTTAATTAGAAATAAAAGAGATGACTTTTGAAAATGCAATGCCTCGACTTTTTCAAGGCGAAATTGGAATTGTTTTTCAGGGAATTTTCCCGGATAAATGGATTTATTGCCACTGCAATTATCAGGAATTTCAGGCACGTGATGAGTTTGAAATTCATATTTTGGAAATAATCAAATTCCTGCCTCAGGAATGCAGCTGTAGACAAAGCAGGCTGAAAGCTCAAAACATCACAAAAATCAGAATTTCAGCACCAATCTGGAGCTCTGGGAACTTCAATCCCTGCCCCAGGTGTTAAAAAGGAATTTTTAGGGATTTTGGGAGAGAATTCTGAGGGGTTTTACAGCATTTCTATGGAATCAAATGGAAATTCCATGGGGGAAAAAAATCATTCCCGAAAATCCAGCATCCCTAAATATTTGGGAAGGGTTGATTCAAGAACATCAAACATTCGAATTGCTAAATAATAATTCAAATTATAACAGCTTCAAGCCCTTCCCAGATAATATTTCCCTAAATTTTAATTGATTTCTGATGGAAAAAAACCCCAAAATATTGAACATGAAATTCCCTTAAACCTCTCAAAATGAGCACATCAAATATTAATATTTGTGAGAAGCAGCGACAGCAACCGGAAATAATTCAAATTACAACACTTTAATTCCTTTCCGGTTAATTTTTCCTTAAATTTTAACCGATTTCTGATAAAAAAAACCACAAATATTGAACATAAACACCCTTAATATGAGCTGGATTTACCGACCTTGACTTTCTCTGCCCGGCAGGAATATCCTGGGATTATTATCCCGGGATTTTGCCGTGGGATAATTCCTCTGCCACGTCCTGAGGATGCTGAAGGTTTGGCTAAAGATCGCTTTTTTCAAACCTCGCCCGAGGGAGGGACCGAAAGTGATAACGGCCGGGCTGGGGTGAAAATCAGCTTTAAAAAGGAGAAAAAATTTGGATTTCCTCTCCCTCCCCTTTCCTGAAAAAGGATTTTGCTGCCCCAGGGCTGAGGGAGAGGAGTTTTAACCTTTTCAGCACCCAAAATGTCCCGAGTTTTCCACAGAAATTATTTTTTGTATTTTTTCCTGGCAGCTTGCCGCTCATTAATATTCTCATTCCATTAGAAATTCATCTCGCTGTTAATTAAGGTTTTTTTCACGACTTTTAAAAATATTTCCAGGCAAGAAAAAAATAAAATAATCATAAAATTTAAGGATATAAATGACATGAAAAGCTCCCACGTGGTGGAAATTCCTTAAAAAAAAAGGGAATTTCGTGCTCAGCCAGACCAGAAATTTGGGATATTTCCAATCCTAAATTTCACCTCTAAATTCCCAACTTGGAATGGAACTCCGGGGAGGATTTGAGGTGCTCAAAATGTCCCTGGAGCAGAGGAAAATCTCCAGAGGAAATCGTGAATCACACACGAGTCATGAACTGAGCAAATTTTCCACTCTAAAATTTCACCCCCGCCACGGGAAGTGAAATTTGCCTCTTTTTATGACTCAAAATTGCCACTTTTATGACCAAAAATTGCCTCTTTTTTACGACTAAAAATTCTTCTTGGAGCCACCAAAAACCCCCCATGAAACCGCAGCTTTTTTTTTTTTAACTAAAAATCTCAAGTGGAGAAGTCGAATTAAAATTAAGTTTTTTAATTCCATTTAAAGTAGGACTTGGGTTCAGGTGAGAGTAATTTTTTCAGCTTTCAAAAAAAAAAAAGTAAAATATTGAAAATAAAATTGGGATTTTTGATAATTTGAGGTAAAACAACCCTGAAGGGAAGGCTTTAAACAGGCACTGATGCGATCATGAAGCCACTGATAATTAAGTTTGTCCTTATCAGAGGGATTTCACGCCTCAAATTTAGCTTTTTTAATGAAAAAAAATTACTTTTAAAATTCAGATTTTGTACCTGAGATGAATTTTGCCGCTGGCACGATGCATCTGACAGGAATTTTGGGGTTTTCCCCCCAGGAAAATGCCACCCAATAAATAAAAGATAACAAAAATGTTTTGCAAGTGTTCCTTTTGGTTGTGAAAGGGGGAGGAAAACCAAAAGTGCTCAATGAAAGTCACAAAGAGCCAATTGCTCTGCAAATCTTCCCGAAACCCCTCCAGGAATTTGGGATAAGGAAACACTTCCTGAAGGTGCCGATTTGGATTTATCTCTATTTGAAGTGGAAAAAAAGAATTGGCCTTAAATAAACAAAACTGGTGTTGTGTGGGATGGGGTTTGTGAGGTGAAATCCTGGAATTACAGAGAGGTTTGGGTTGGAAAAGGCCTTAAAATCCATCCAATTCCACGGGCAGAGATGTTTTCCACAATCCCACGGTGCTCCGAGCTGGCCTGGGACATTTCCAGGGATGGAGAAGCCACGGGTTCTCTGGGAATTCCATCCATTCCCCCTCCTAGGAAAGGATTTATTCCCAAAATCCCGCCTATCCCTGCCTTGTGTGAGGCTGGAGCCTTCCCCCTCCTCCTGGCGCTCCGAGCCTTTGGAAACATTCCCCATCCATCTTTCTCGCCGCCTCCCTCCAGGCCACAATTAAAACATCCCGAAGCTTCCCTTCTCCAGGCGGGACAATCCCAATTGTCCCAGAGATTCCTGGGAAGAGATAAAAATTCATCTTCGCTCCCGCCGCTCCAGGCCCCTCCCGCCGGCACCGCCTCCTGTCCCCCCCCCCCCC